ATAATCTTAAGTGAAATTACTTAAATAGAGTTCCTCGTTAGTTAATTTCTTCCCTTCTGCCATTTTCATCTTCACTTCTCCCAATACCCAATTTTAAGAAATTCAACAATTAATAAAGAACTTGACAAATTTAGTAGTGAAACTAATTAACTTAATTCAATGTGTGGCAAATTTTGTGTATCTTTTGTCCCTCTACTCTTCTTGATAAGACAGAGTAAGAAGAAACCATAGATAAGCATTCCAGAAATTTATGATACCATGGAGATCATGACCAGTTTTATATTTTTAAATTGGGGAGGCAAACGTTGTCATTTTCATCTTCACTTCACTTCTATGTATTTTGTAGGCTTATTACCGCAAAATCTCTTGACCTTTGGCCCGTATTGCAGAATATCCCCTATTCTTTCATTTTAGCAGAAATTCGTATATGACATTTGAGATGCAGAAGACCTACTTTTCTTCTATTTTTTAAATAATGTCTTGTTAAATGACTAATGTGCCCTCTATTTAAATGAAACAAAAAATATGAAAAAATATAGAGAACTAATTTCAACTATAGATCCAAAATTTTCAAAAAGTTGCAAACAAGTCTTAAATAAATAATTAAAAACTAAAATAAAAAATAAAAAAAATCCATCTCTCTCACCTAGTTTTCGATATGTAAAGTTTCAAGATTATCAGTTAATAAATGTCAAGAACTAGTTTTCAAAAATAAGAAAGCGATGAAATGTGGAGAACAAATGAAAATCAATCAACCAAACCTCGTTCTAGAAAGATGAAACGTCAAGTGTTGAAACTATCAAATATCAAATATTAAGAATTAGTTTTCAAATGTGAAGAACGAGATAAAATGGGGAGAAAAATGAAAACCAACGAAGAGAACTAAATTTATCATTAATTGGCAATCCACGGTGTACGAAATACTTGAATAATACTCGCGAATGTATGGTTGATTGTATCGTCCAATCGTTGCATGATGTGTTGCTCAATTAGGGCACTCGTTGCATCACACCAAAAAGTAAAATCAAACAAAAAAAATGAGATGCATGCACTAATGGATGAATCACAATTAATACGCATAAGCATGCATCAAATGTAACTAATCAATTAGGTATACAAAACACTTCTACCTTTAAAAGCACCGTGATCAATTTCTGAATTTTTCAGATTAAGTCAATTGTGTCATTAACTTGGTCAAATGACTCACTTGATTAGTGAAGAAATCAATCTAACCATCAAACTTATGATTTCTAACTCTTGTGTAATTCTGATTTTTATTTCTATTCAGGAATTTATGACACCTAAGCCTTATATGTCCTAACTCACCACAATTGAAATAAGTAGCGATAAACCTAGGTCCAAAGTTATATGGTCGCTAATATCTATTCCTACGTTGGTATGTCCTACGATGTCTAGAAGGCCTCCGTCCTATGATACCCTTGTTCTTGAGATCAGGATTAGGAACATACATATGTTGGTTGGTGGTAGGGATAAAAATTGTTTTGGAAGTACTAGCCTTATTATGATCGGTCTCATTATATCGTAGACCTCCTTTGTTCTAAGCAGGCTTGTTCAACCTCAAAAGATTGTCCAGTTTTTGAGATCTACTAGAGAAAGCAAGAAGTTGAGACTTGAAATATTCAAGTTCACTTAGAAGGTTCTTAACCTGTATTTCTAATTTCTCATTCTCAACTAGGGCTGGGCAAAATGTCCGAACCGAACCGAACCGAACCGAACCGAACAGAGAAGGTTTTTTAAAATGAAATACCCGAACGGGTATCCGAATCGAGAACCGAATGGTTTGGTTCGGTTCTCAGTTCTAGACCCAGAA